TTGAAAGGCCAAATTGTGCAAGTGAGCATACCAAAGAGGGCCCTTGCCCCTTGGACTTGGACTGGATTGTTTTTAGGAGATTTTTTCGCTCCGTCTCTATCCTGCCACAGTAATCTTTTTTTTTTTTACCAGCATCCTGCCACAGTAATCTAAAAAGTGAAATATATATATATATATATATATGTATTACGAGTTTCCGGAGGTTCTCTAATTTTTCTGCCATTCTTAAATAATCTTGGAAAAATGATTAAAAAAAACCGTCAAAATAAAAAAGTTGTAAATAAAGACTCATAATAATATTAATATTGATTTTGACAATAATAATATAAGTTTTGATAATAATTTTTGTAAACCGATCTCTGTGGACAATAGTCTTTCATTATATTTTTTTAATGATTTTGTCCGGAGTACACATTATTAAGAAAAATTAGACGAAAAATTTAATTGAAAGCCACATCTCACAACTCTGAGAGTGTTTGGAGACCATAAAAAGTACTACCTCCGGTCCTTATTATAAGACCCTGTTTGACTTTTTGTTTGGTCCTAATTATAAGACCCCAATCCATTTTCTCTCCCATATTTATGCATTTTTTTTCCAAGATAATCCTTCTAATAATGATAGTTCTAGCCAATATACTTAATTAGCAAGGATATTTTAGGAATGACAACACTTATTTATTACAAATAACTAACTTAACTTACTTCCTTAATCTCCTCAAATAAGTCAACTGGGTCTTATAATTAGGACCGGAGGTAGTACTTCTCAAAAAAAATTTTATACAAATTGAGATAAATTTTTTTACATATTTATTTTGTATATTGTAAAAATACTTTTAAAATTATGATTTTAATTTCATCCAACTACTTTTCGTTGCTCACAAAGTCACTGGAAAGATTCATCACGTGTCAAGTTTAATTGACACGTGTTGGATATCAGAGCTGGTAGAGGCGGGGGCGCAGGCACACCAACCACCTCATGCCCAACGAAATTTATTAATTACCTTAAGAATTTACGTACTCTTTGGGCAAAAAAAAAGTGACAGAATATAAGAATAAAATATTTACATTCCTTTTTTTCCCTCTTTTTTTCTCTCTTTGTTAATTATTTTGTTTTACAGTATTTTTTTAATATTTTACTGCTGTGTTGATAACTGCAGAAATTGGGAAAAAAAAATAACTGCAAAAATTGATCCAGTGGGAAGCAGAGCAGCAGTATAACAGACGATCTCGGCTGAAAGCAGAGGGACTGTCCTCTTGTTTTATCAGTTCGTCTTTCCAAGCCTGCTTGTCATTCCCCTTCTAAATTCTTTCTTTACCCTCAGTCCACAATGCATTCTTCCCTTTCTCTCAAGCCTACGTTTCTGGTTGCCCCTTCCCTCTCTTCCCGAACCCCAAACGGGATCCCGCCGCCAGGTCAAGTGAATTCCTGCGCAAGACACTCTTTTCCCGCTTTCTCTGTTCGATCCCAGGTCGAAAGTTCTTCATGGCTGATTTAAATTGGTGACTTTTTTTGGTTCTCCATGTTCGTTTGATTAGACTATGATTTGGGAAGTTAGTTGGGTTTGTAGGAGCTTGCTGGAAATCGAAAGAAAAATAGGATTTATGACCTCCAATTAAGTAATGTGATGTGAAAATTCTAAGCCATGTATAAGCTAATTATTGTTCAAATTGATTGATTGCAATGTCATCTACATTGCTTTTTGGTTATTATTTTTTTCCCTTATTTTCTTTATAACGTTTTGCTTACAATTGGACACCTTCCGCATAGTTATTGATTCTCTTAATTTTCATATCTCATTCGCAATGGAGTGTGTTGAAATGATACTGTTGTTTTATCCATATTTGACTTCATTTTTCAGTGTAAAGATGCGATGATTATATAATGAGGAAACCTAGTGGTTACTCTATTCTCTTTAAGCTCATGTCATATTCCGGTTCGTTTTCATAGATGGGGTCAACTGATAGTCCGCCTGCAATAGCTACATCTAGCGAATCGTTGGCAGATACCCTCAAAATTAAGGAGTGGGAAGTGAGCATGTTACAGAATGAAGTTGCTGCCAGCCAAGGTATAAGGATAAGGAGAAGACCGCCAACTGGGCCCCCTTTGCATTATGTAGGTCCCTTTGAATACCGGTTGCAGAATGAGGGAAATAGTCCTCGTAATATTTTGGAAGAGATTATATGGTACAAGGACACAGAAGTCACACAAGTACGACAACTGAATGATTTTCCTCTTTTGATTTACTTAAATATATTTTTTTGCGTAAAATAAACTGTAAATTGTTTGATTTTCAGATGAAAGAGAAAATGCCTCTCAGTGTACTGAAGAAAGCTCTTGAAAATGCTCCTGCCACCAGGGACTTCATTGGCTCCCTAAGGGCGGCCAATGAACGAACAGGACTTCCAGGATTGATAGCTGAAGTGAAGAAAGCTTCGCCAAGTAGAGGTGTCTTGAGAGAGGACTTTGATCCAGTAAGTGTGTCTTCCTTTTTAACTCTGTTCCGTTTTTATCTATGATTAAGATTTCTCAACATTTTTAAAAAATGTGTGAAGTTGTTATTGGTGCCAGTGTGAATTCTTATATTATCTGGCTGGCACCATTGATAGTTTGTTTGTTAGTTTCTCTTCCTTTCTGGATTGCAACTTGTTGGATGGATACTACTTAATTTTATATTTTCATTTGGCTTCCTGCAACCTATAGCCTTTGTAATACTCTTAATTTGTTGTTTCTGGGAGATCTCATATTTTTTCATTTAATGGGTTGTTCTATCTGTCGGTATTTTCATTACCAACACCCAAAGTAATGAGCAATAATTACCACGGTCCTCTAGTTTGTTTGTTATTTTCTCTTCACATTATATGGTACTATTCCAGAGATTCTTTGTGACAGGTTGAAATAGCTCGAGCTTATGAAAAAGGTGGAGCAGCATGTTTAAGTGTTTTGACAGACGAAAAGTATTTTAAGGTACCCTTTGCGTCTTGCATTTTTTCTGAATCTCCTCGTAAGTTTATTGTTGCTAAGTGATATTTAGTTGTTGATAAGCTGGCAATATTGCAGCTCAATGTTAGCTATCTCTTACATGCTATTGATGTTAACAAAACAGGGGAGCTTTGAAAATCTTGACTTGATAAGGAAGGCTGGAGTAAAGGTTTACTTTCTGAGTTGTTTTGCTATCTCATATTGGTTTTATTTTATCACCTAAATCTGTGGTGTATGTCTTGCGCTAATTGCCTAAAAATATGCAGTGCCCTTTGTTGTGCAAAGAATTTATAGTAGATGCATGGCAACTTTACTATGCTCGAATTAAAGGTGCAGATGCAGTTCTTCTCATTGCTGCTGTTTTGCCGGATCTGGATATTAGTTACATGATTAAGATATGCAAGATGCTTGGACTAACTGCTCTCGTGGAGGTAGAGTTGATGCTTCTTTGTTTGTTCTGTTTCTTATGTTTCGCTTTAATTCTGTTTGCTATAGTTAAGCAAATGTGTAGTAAAATTCCATCATTTCGGTGCTCAAATCTGAAATCTTTTACTACCACCTTACATTGACCAATGATGCCGAACCTATTTAGGGATGAGCTCTATGCTATTTGAGACCATGAGCTTTCCACTTCCCTAGGATATTTTTCCCTCCATTTAGACTGCAGGGAAATTACATGCATATTATAATAATGTAAATAACTTCAATTCAATTTGCCTTAATCCATGAATGTGCATGGCATATTTTCTAGTTTTGTTACTGCCAACTCAGAATTTCTGGGGTCTGTTGTATTGTACGTTCATTATTTTTATTTTATGATAACCAATGGAAAATATCCATATATTTTGAATCTTTGTGTTGTTTGTCCCTAGGTGCATGATGAGAATGAATTTGATCGTGTCCTTGGAATAGAGGGGATTCAGCTTATTGGCATAAATAATCGTAATCTTGGTATGCCTTCTTTCTGTCTCTTGATAACAGTTATGCACTTTTGGTTACTTCTTTTTCTAACAATAAAGATTTCTCTCTCTCTCTCTCTTTTTTTTTTTTAAAATAAATGATTATCCCTTACTTCTATGTAGAGGTTAGGATATCCGTTATCGTTATATGCAGTAGAGTTGAATGTTGCTTTGGTGGCAAGTCCACTTGTCCATGAAGTCTCTTATTCCTCCATGAATTTTGACTTGGTATGATACTGGAAACATAACTAACAAGTCTGATTTTCTGACGAGTTGTTTGCTGTTTGTTGAAGTTTGTGATCATTATGCAAGCAAGAATTCTTATTTTAATGAATTTTCTTATTGTTCAATTGAGCTGTACGGTCATTGTTTGAGCACACATTTGTTGGTGGAGCTTATAGAGTATTTAATTTATGGGTTAATGTTGTATAGCCTATTGAAATATTGTTAGCTAAGTACTACAGCTTGCGTCGATAAAGAAAAAGGATTTTATTGTATTTTGGACTGGAGATTAAGAAATTAAGCTGTCATTTCCAGAACATAAGCATATCATTTTGCCGTTGTCTAAATATTCAGATCTTGTAGTTAGTCTTCTATTTTGGGTCTACCATCTTGAATGGTAGTATATAAAACCTTCTGGTTCATTACTTTCTGTTTTTAACCATGCAATTGTGAGCCCTCTCATTTGTTACTACATGAGTTCTTTCTTCTGATAGGTTCCACGATTTGTAGAGTTATGAGCAAGGATCTTGAACTCATATAACTAACAAAGTTCAAAGGGTATCTCCCAAATTACAGTGAATATCAAAATCTACCTGCCTATCCCCTCTATCACATAATTTAATGTAATGTAAAACTACATATTAAGTGATAAATAAATAAAGAACAAATCCTAATCGAGATGTCTATAGGCAATATCTCATCATTATTTGGGACTGAAAATAAGTTAAGAACTCGTAAAAGTATGCCAACAAGTGATCCACTAGTACTTACACCATCTATCCCATGATCCATGAAACTCCGTCAGCCTCACATGTAAACTTAATGTTATTAAATATATATTTTTTCCAGTTAATCTATTTTGGCAAGAACATAAATGCAGTGTTTCTTACACTTTCCTCTGGTTCTATCTTTCTGTGTGCATGTGCGCACGTGTTTCTGTGTGCAGGGCGGGGTTCCTAGTTTTAGAATGGTGTGTGATGGTTAGGTCGAAACAAATTTTTTATTCACTGTTTTGTTGATTTGATTATAAGTGCTGGTTTTGTCTTAGATGTCCTAACCCTTGTACTTCATCGAATTTACAATTTTAAATTGACTCATTGAATGCCTGTCTCTGTAGTCCCATTTAGAGGTTACTACGTGATATATTAGTTTGGTGATGTTAAAAAAGTATGTCTTCTTGTTCATAAACAATCTTCTATTTCATCTTTGAATATAATCATTGTTGTCTTATTCTGAATTTATGTGCATGACCGACCTATTCTTGACCTGGTATGATATCAGAAACTTAACTAACGAGTCTGATTTTCTGAGAAACTGTTTGTTGTTTGTTGAAGTCTGTGATCATTATGCAAGTAAGAGTTCTTATTTTGATGAATTGTCTCATTGTTGAATTGACCTGTATGTTTGAGCACACGTTTATTCACCGGTTTGTTGAATTCATTGCAATTATTCGATTTGTCTTCAATGTACTGACCCTCAAGTACCTGCCTCGGTAGTCCTATTTAGATTATTACATGGTAAATTAGTTTTGTGATGTTAAAAAAGTAAGTTTTCTTGCTCAAACTTCAATACGTGTTTGACTAAAACATAAACAATCATCTACTTCATCTTTGAATATTCTCATTCTCATCTCATTTTGAATTTGAGAGACGGACCTATTGTAGCTTTGTTACTTTTGGTTTGCAGGAACATTCGAGGTGGATATCAGTAACACAAAGAAGCTTCTTGAAGGAGAGCGAGGAAGAATAATCCGTGAGAAAGACATAATTGTATGTCCTCAATATCTTTACTAAGACTTCCTTGAAATATCTGTGTTTTTGGCAGTGATTATGCTGCTAATGATGATCTTGTTCCATAAATTGTTTGTTAAGGTTGTTGGGGAATCTGGTCTGTTTACTCCCGATGACATTGCCTATGTGCAAGAAGCTGGCGTCAAAGCTGTAAGTATTGTGGATATTATAATCAAACCTTATCTACAAATTCAGTGACCAGTGCATGCGGCCGATAACTGTAATATAATCTCAAACTACAATGTTGGTTTTTTGCAGGTTTTGGTTGGAGAGTCTATTGTAAAACAAAGTGATCCTGGGAAGGGAATCAGCAATCTTTTCGGCAAAGATGTATCTCTTCAGGTCTGAAGTCAGCAATCATCGTAGCATTTGAGGTTATAAATTTTGTCTGTACCAAAAATAAGTTATTGAGCTTACAAAAAATAAAAAAGGTTAGTGAAAATGCTTTTGGATCAGATTGTGGATGACAAGTTAATTTGCTGTCAAGTCCTTGTGGAATTTAGCCCCACGTTTGCGAGAATTCTTCTGTTTCCCAACTCATCTTTCTGGTGATTAGTTTCGACTTGGTAGATTAATTTGAAATTTTTAATTAAATCTTTAAAATTGAAATGATAATTTAACATTCAATTCAACATGAGATGTATATGTATTGGGTATATAAGAAATGTTGCATGTATTTAGAAGAGTGGAAAACTCGGGAAAATGTTCGAATTCTAAATGTTATGTTGTCTTTAAAAGTTAAAAAATAATAATAAATAATGTTTTTTGTAGGTAGAAATATCTGTGTAGAGTTGATGCAGGGAAATGTGGGGAGAAGGGTAGAGAATTGAACCTCCAGGCATTATTCAAACCAAATATTTTATGAAAATAAACAGTAAAGAAAATATTATCTGCATCAACCCAGTTCTTACAAATTATTCTACGCCTAAGCTTTTGAGGCTTTGCCTGGTATCTTCGTGGAAAAGTAAATTCTTTTCTCTGGTAGGGAGATTAAGACATGTAATATTCATTATATTTTTGTTCCATTATTCATCATTCAAGAGTAACAGTCCTTCCATTTAATTTAATTTAACGATATAGAAGATATTAAGGTGTGATTATGACCTAGCAAGAGTGAAAAAGACGCAATGCTGCGACGTTGACTAGGGAGAATACAAGAGCGAGTAGTATAAACCATTAGACAAAAAAAGAATCAACCTAGCAGATTGCTCAGTGGTTCCTTTAATTTCATTCATGAAGGAGAAAATAATTAAATCTTGGGACAATCTCAGAAAAAGCCCTTAAAATATATCAAATTCTTGATTGGGTCCTTGAATTTTGAAAACGACAGGATGGGTCATTGACCCAATTTGTCATTTGTGAAATTAAGGCGGATTGACAATTTTGCTCCTGACTAAGTAAAACTGAGTAATTATTCTCTAAACAAATCTAAGTAACACTTACACTGTTCTAGTTATTACAAGATTAGTTGTAGTTAATAATAAGGTACCTGACAATAATAAAATATCTGATTATGAAAAAATGAGTAGTTATTCTCTACACAAATTTAGGTAATACTTATATTGTTCTAGTGATTACAAAATTAGTTGTAGTTAATAACAAGACACCTGACTATGAAAAAGTGAACAGTTATTCACTACACAAATCTAGGTAACACCCAAACCCTTATAGTGATTCTTTAAATTATTATAGTGAATGAATACAAAAGAGGGTAAAGTTGTCAATTCCTCTTGATTTGACAAATGACACATTGGGTCACTGACCCATCCTGTTATTTCCGAAATTTCAAGACCCAACCTAGAATTTCTTCTATTCCAAGGACCTTTTTTGGGATTTTCCCTTAAATCTTTAGCTAGAAATTTGATACTCCAATCAAACGCTTCACAAATTACAAGTGGATGCTAAAACTATCTTTTATGTTAACATTGTTAATTAACTTTTAAACATTGATTTGACAGCTAAGGTAAGTTGTAAATACTCTTCAAAAATACTTTTTCACAAATCGAAACAAACTTTTTTATATATTTATTTTGTATATTATAAAATCATTTTTAAAATCATGGTTTTATTTCTATCTAAACATCCCATAAGTATAGGTAAAAGTGTGGTTTTGATACTAACCTTTTTTTACAGATTTGATGTTTGATCCCTTAATTTTATTAAGTATTTTTTGAGTTATTTAATCCTAACGATAAGGTTAAACTCCCAATCCAATGACACTCGAAATAACTCAACGAAACCAAGAGTATCAAAATGAAGATGAAAATTGAAATTGAAAACCAAGAGTATCAATTTATAAAACAACGACTTGAAACAAAATTGCAATGCCTACTCAATTCCTTCTCAAAGCTCCATAAATTTTCACAAGGTCTACAAATAACGAACGTATAGTTCCTAAGATTAGAGGAGATGATACAAAGGAAACACAGCATAAATTAAGTACATTAAATCATACTAACGAAAAGGATCTCTTCCTGCTTCGCATACTTGGCTGCATTTCTTGAGTGCCAATACTCCCCTCATCCTGCGAGAGAACCAACAACCATTAGATTTTCATTCACCAAAGCAAATAAATGTCCTACTTCCATTTCCCTATGGACGCATATTTTTTCTCTTGGCCTTCATGCCATATGACGCTTTTAAGGTCCAATGCATCAACAGTATCTACCAATCAGTCTAACTGAGAACGTTAAATTCGTATTCAATTTCAAAAGTCAAACCCATACAATAATTAAGTAGAATCTACATATTTAAGAAATTCTTTCAACAAAAATTCCGTCAGTAAAGATTATGCGTGAACAAGTAACATTTTCATGGGGCATATAACATGATAAAATTATGCATCAACTGGATTTGTATCTACGTATGTATGTGTATGAACACACAAACCCACCAACCCACCCATATATATTTTTTCAGAGTCAGGATCTCCCAATCCCCCTTGCAACTTGATCTTTGCAACCCCGTGGTCAACCTTAAGGTAAAATTTTGATCTCAACATTCTTGTATCCTTAGTCATTAAAGAAGGACTCCTAAGCTAATGGCATAAGCAATTGAATAGAGTAGATATGCCAAGACCATTTGTCCATGTAACTGCACTCTCTGATGTCTTACTAAAGATAATGACTGACTACATTTTGTGAATTGCCATTTATGATTACCACCCAACAGAAATCAATCTAAATAAAGGGCAGTAACCACCAATTATCACCCGTGTTTTTTTCAGTGAGAATTGTTAAGGTTCAAATCTTGTAAAAAGAAATTATAAACAGCCGGCCAAAAGAACAAAAGAAAAGCAAATACTGGCCTCGATTTCGAGGAAGAAGAAGCTCTATGAATTCTAGAGCACAATGTAAAACAGTAAAAGAAAAGTTTCATTTAAATTAGCATATTGAATACATGTAGAAGTTTGGCTACATGAATAGCGATTGGATCCAAATAATTAGAAAAACATGTGAAGCAACAAAACATCAAATTTTCAATTGCTTCCCTCCCATTCATTCCCTAATATCAAATCGTTCCAGCTAAAACACCGTCATATAGTCAGAGTGTCAGATCATTCCCCTCTACATCCAGCACCCAATAGAAAAGAAAATGAAGGAGAAAATTGCACATAGCTCCAACAAGTACATATACCAACTCCTTATTAGGCAGGAAAATAAAATCAAAAGGCCACACGGACTACCGCATAATTCGTGGAAATCAAAACGATGCAGGCGAAAACGGTAGAGGAAAAAAAGATGCTATAATATGCAAAAAGTTAACTTTACCTAACCAGATCCGACGATAATGTTGTTGATGGGAATGAAGATCAGCTTCACAAAGAAGCCCACAAATCCCATCACTACGAAACCGATCGCTGTGCGGACCGCAACTTTGGAGAACTCTACAATCAAAAGCTTCCAATAAATACCCAGGCAAAAAAAAAAAAATCAAAAGACGGGAAAAAACAGAGGATCGGTAAGAATGAGATTCACCTTTGCGATCAGGCTTGTGGCAGCGCTTTACGAGTCGAACGCTGTCCTTGGCGAAATCTCTGAGAGGATCGAAGACGGAATCAATGGCGTCCATTCCTGATCTCTCTTTCTCTCTGTTCTCTTTGTTCAGATCGAGGATCTGAATGCAAACGGATATTTTTTGGATCCCCCCGATGGAATTCTGAATTTGGTTTCACAATTTTGTTTTATTTATCCATGCAACACGCGTATGAGAAGGAGATTATACACGTCGAACAGCCCAATAGCGTGCTGCCACGACATCTCCTATTGTGGACAAGTTTGCGTTCAATTCTTATTCAATTTAATTTTATAATTTTAGCGTTTTTTCTAGTTTCATAAAATTTAAGATATAAATAAAAATACAATATATGCGTTACATAAATTTAAAATCAAATATTTGAAAAATTATTTGATTATTTGATTTGATATCATTTTTATCTTTTTAAAATACCTGTATCTATATGATATATAATATATAGTATTGAATAAAATTTTTAAAATGCATAATCATATAAAATTTAATTACATTATATATTTTATATTATCATTCAATTAAATTATTTTAAGTTATTGGAGTGTAGTTATCATTTTACTTATCATTAGGTGGGCTATGAGGTCGAAATATGAACTGTTTTTTTTTTTTGGGGGCCGAAGCTGGTTATTTTGTAAATGGTAATATGAGTTATTATAAATTTTATTAATTCATTGATCATTGTGTTCATATATTATATTGATATCAGTAACATTGATATCAAATTATTAACATCAACATTATACTAATGACATGTACCTACATACATATATTTGTATATAATATTATTAAATTTAAAAAAAATGTCATACAATATACATATATAAACTAGTTATTTATAGCATGAACAATATCATATGAGTATGAGCCTACAATCAATCTAGTTATTGTTTATTTAATTAAAAAAAACAAGTTGGCAAAAACAATCTAATAAAAAGTATAAAACTTTAGATTCATTTACTTCGATAATGATCTAATAGAATTTTAAACATTTATTCATATAAATTTTTATCCGTAAAAAAAGTTCATGGGATAATATTTAATTAAAGAATTTAATCAGATAAATTAGAGAAAATGAATTTAAATTTTTGTGTGTGTAATTTAGGATATTCCTAAGTCACTTTAGACCTGAGACTAATACTTGTCAGGCCAAGAATATTTAAAATTAAAACTTTTTAACAAATGTGTTTCCCAAAATTTAAACCTATGTTGTTCTTCTTATTTGCCAACAATTTGTTGGTAAAAATAAAGTTAACTTTTTTACAAACTCAAATTATATTCTTTTATATGATCACCTTATCTACGGGATTATTGAACCTCAACCTTATCAGAAGGAGTTAAATTCTTTTTATTCTATTGTTAGCTTATCGTTATTCTTTTTTTATTTTATTTGGAAATTATGTCAAATAAAATAACGCAGCGTGTTCAACCAACCAAAAGGGAGGAAGTCCTGTGGCAAAAGCTGTAAATTTTCCAATTTTCACTCGAGAAGGGTACTTTTAAACTTGAATCAACAAAACTGTTGGCCCAAAAATTCTCAACAGCGAAGTTGGCCCTAAAAAAACAACCTTAACAACGAATCGCATCCTACCTGTAAACCATCTATTGGCCTCCGTATCTATTTCTCCAATCATACGCTGACACATAACCCAAACTCCTTTACCAACGACGCCGTTTCTTCCAACCAGTCCTCAGGAGAGTTCCGCCTCTCCACGACGACTACACCCTTGAACTCTTCATCTCCGATTCCTCGGTGAGATCGATAAGTTCCGAAGTCGTACGACTTTCTCTTGCTCAACCTTAGTCTCTCTACAAGCTAAAAACAAAACCTCGCTTTAGTTCTTCTCAGTTCTGACGTCCTCATCGCCTACGCAAGGGTTTTTTTTTTTTTTTGTCTCTATATTTTGGTCTCTGCAAAACAAGCTATTTGATTTTTTTTTATTTTTTTGGGTTTTGACTTGTGCAGATGGAATTGTGGCGGTTGGGATGTTGGGGGCATATTTTGGTGTTGATGATGGTTGGGGTGTTATTGAATCTTAAAGGGTCCGAAGGGATTAGGTTTGTCATAGACAGGGAGGAGTGTTTCTCCCATGATGTTAAATATACAGGTGACACTGTCCATGTTTCTTTCGTTGTTGTCAAGTCTGACTCTCTCTGGCGATTTGGCGGCGGCGCCGGTGAAGGAGTCGATCTTGTGGTATGTTTTGTTTGTATTCTGCTTCTGCTCTTTTTTCCAATAACGTGTATTTCTCTCCTTAGAAGGTCTAATGGGTAAAGGTTTTTTCTTAGATGGCATCAATTCAATATTTGAATTGTCCTGAAAGTATTCTTGGAGTCCTGAAAATTTCAATCTACAGACAATTTAACATTAGACTATTAAGGATAGCTCTGCCTGCAAGTAGAAATAAAAGGATACCCATTCTTTGCAATGACAAATTGACTGCATATTGCTTATAGTTGACATGTTTTCTCTTACAATTCCCAATGCTTAAACGTTATGATAAGCATCATCACTTGCAATTCCTCATTGGTTGTTCACCTTTTTTCTTTCCAACTTCATTATATGCAGTCCCTCTTGTGACTATAGACCATCCAAATTGTTCGGTGATTTGTTATAAAGCATGGTTTCTCTCACAATTCTACATGATTGAAATTTATTATAGGCTTAATCACTTGCAAGAGAATTCATGATTTATCTTGCTTCAAATTCCCTGTTGGAAATATTTGTATTAACCGCCCAGAATTTTGACTGATCGGGCAGTTTGTGGACCTTCAAGTTCAAAACTTGATAAGATTGCAGACTTGCAGAGATATTATGCATTGTATCAAGGAATCCCTATATGATATTGCCATCTTAATGCCTAGTTTCCATATTATTTTGGCATTCATTCCCTAGGCATCTTGAAAACATTTGTATATACTAATGTAGATTCAAACATTTTTTGGCTCTAATACTAAGTACCGCATCAAGCTCTTACCTCTAGGTCCAAAGTTATGGTTATTAGGCTGGGTGGAACTCTCTTAGCTTGTAGGTATAAGCTACATTAGTTGCTTTTTATCTGAGAACAAACCACAAATAACTGATGTTGATGTGATTTTTCCTTACATTTTTTTCACTGATACTATCTGTATCACCATGTTAGAGTCTTATTGCTGCTCTTTTGTGAGAACTTTCAGGTAAAGGGACCTTCAGGCGAGCAAATTCAAGATTTCCGTGACAAGACAGCTGAGAAGTTTGAGTTTACCGCTCACAATTCAGGAGTCCACAAGTTCTGCTTCACCAACAAGTCTCCTGCTCACGAAACCATTGACTTTGATGTACATGAAGATCACTTCTCTTACTACGAGCAACACGCAAAAGACGGTAGACAATTCCACTACTAAGCCCTCTTAAGTTCTCATATAGTTTGTTTGGGATTCTATTAGGAACCCCAAAACTGACCTTTAGATCCTTTAAAAGCCAGTAGAAGCCAAAAATGCATGTTCGGTATGATTTTGAGGGCCAGTGAAACTTTTTGCCTTCATTGAAGTTGAAGCGACTTTTTATGGTTTTTTTTTGGCTTTTCTTCATGTTTGAACCTTCTGAAACTGATTTTTCAATATATCATCCAAAGAAGATTCTGTCAAACTGACGTTTTTCACATAACATTATTGAACTGAAATATATATATATATATATATATATATATATATCAGATTACGCCCATTCATTTTTACCCCACCTTCAGTTTGCAAAAATGAGTTTAAATAAAAGTCATTCTTGCAACTAGTCCTAAATGGAGCTTGCAAAAATGTTTGCAGAACATCTGAACCCTTTGCTGGAGCAGATAGAAAAGTTGGATCAAACTCTATACAGCATTCAGTTTGAACAGCACTGGCTAGAGGCTCAGACTGATCGCCAAGCAATAGGTAAGGCATTAATTAATGAAGATTTAGTTTTCTCTGTTCATAATTAAAAAGGCTAATCACACTGCTTCATGCTTCAAAATCTAATTCCTTTACGGGAAAATGCAGTGAATGAGGCAATGAGCCGAAGAGCTATTCACAAGGCAATTTTCGAATCAGCTGCACTAATAGGCGCCAGCGCATTGCAGGTCTACTTTCTGAGGCGCTTGTTTGAGAAGAAGCTTGTGACCAGAGTTTAAGTTTTTCAATTTCTTACGGCATTGTGATATTATCATAGCATATCAGTGGTTTTTCTTTGTCACTTTGCCAACGTATCTTCATAATTTATTTCACTAATATATAGTTTTCTTCTACATTAGCTATTTTTAGAACATAGCTGTTTGTTGCTACTGCTGCTTATTGTAATACCATCTCTATTTCGGCGACCCCATACCTAAAGATTTAAGAGAAAATCGCGAAAAAAAAAAGACTGTTGAGATTGAAAAATTACATTATTAAGGACTGTTTACAAAAATTGTTTACAAAAATTGTTATCGAAACCCATGCTATTGATATCAAAACCCGTATTAATATTGTAACGGATCTTTTTTTAATTTTTCTATTTGGCTGGGCTATTTTTTGCAATTTTTCCAAGATTCAAAGTAAAAAATTGATTTAAAAATTTTTAAGACGAAAAATTGTCAAGAGCAAATCATGTGTTAAACTTCTTCTCATGCACACTCTTTTTAGGTGTACATAAATCTAGATGTATAATGCACACTCTTTTTAGGTGTACATAAATCTAGATGTATAATATTTTTAGGCTAGAAGATACAATTAGTTCTATAACTTTGTATAAAATTTAAATTTGGTTTTAATTTTAAAAAGAATATTTTAGTTTTGTAACTCTAATTTTTTTAATAAAAAATGATGATATTAATATCTTAAATGATAGTAAAATATTTTCAAATACTAACATATTAAGTTTAATTTTCAAAATACTATGATTGTTGTAAAAAAATCATCATTGAAACCTAATGATTTTAGAATTAAAGGACTAAATATATGTTTTTTAAAGTTAAGGGATAAAATTAAAACCTTCTAAAAATTAAGAGTCAAATCTGTACTTTAGCCATATTTTTATTAAGAAATAATTATATATGTTTGTTTTTTTTATTTATTTGAGCTTCTTTACTATTTTAATTCTTTTGGGTACCAATTATGATTAAGGTGCGAAATTCTCCTACCCTACATTAGGTTCCACCAACTACAACGGCAAATCAAACCGATAATTGTAGTGTCTATATTCTTCTCCAACACTCCCTTATCTGTATATTCATAATAATTTAAGTTGTTTTTTCCAGCAATAATTTGGATTTTATATTAAAAAAAGAAAGAAAGAAAGAAAAGAAAACCGCATTTGGGGGTAAAATGAGCTGTAACCGTAAGGATATTACTTCAAAACGATGACGTCTCTTTCCTAGTCTTGCATGAGAGATGTAGTTCGACAATAAAGTGAGAGATCCCTATCTTGGCATTCCCATCACAAGGAATAGACAGTTGAAGAAATCCAAGCAACTCGAAATTATGATAAGAGCACAAATATCCGAAATTATATTCATGACTTGTTAAAAAATAGAAAAAATCATTTAGCACGTATCTATATTTTTTTTTCAATTTTTAATTTGATATATGTTTTTTTAATTAAATCTTTAATTTTGTTTTATTAACATCCTTAACCCTTGCATGGAGACTAAAAATGTTAATGGAACAAATTACAAGAATAATTTACTAAAAAAGTAAAATTAAATGGTTAATTAAAAGTAAAATAATATATAGACACCAAATTAAAAAATTGAAAGAATATGTGTACCTTCAAAAAATAATATTTATTATGAACTTTGTATCATAATATATATTAAATGAATATTGATACAGCATGTCATATTAAAAAATTAAAAATATAAATCTCACTGTGAATGTGAAGAACTGAAAACTTCTTCATGCATGACCTGTAATCTATAAGTATGTCTTAATTTCATGAACTCTCCGTATTTAACTCACGTCCTGTAATCTATAAGTATGTCTTAATTTCAGTGAACTCTCCGTATTTAACTCACGTCAACTTTCAAACACAAGGAGAGAAAAAAAAAATAAAAATATATATTCTCTTTCGCCCTAAAATATAAGATTCTCCTATCGACCTAACCTAGGTAACTGGAGATGCACTTAACAAGGCCCAAAACAGATCTTGCTCCAAGGCATAATAATTTAAATTCGATAATCTTTTCAATGTGATAATGTCTTCTGCTCTGATATTATGTTTATCGTTGATTTTTTGACACTCCGTGGGAGATAATTCAAATTAATTTATAAAACCATTTATTACATACAATATGTTGAGAATATATTAATGAAAAGCCGACAAGTTATACTCATATCGAGAAATTAAAAAATCATAAATAAAATTATTCATATACGGGCTCTCTTAATTAAGGGGAAAAGGAAACACAAATGGAAATATAGAAATACTACTTGTATTAATTTTATTAATCTAATAAAATAAGAATATTTGATATTTTTAAATTTAGTCCCGTCTTGTTTTGTTTTATTACTAGTCCATTTCCTTCGAATTTTCATGAATATTTTATTAGAAATTTAGTCCCGTCTTGTTTTGTTTTTATTACTAGTCCATTTCCTTCGAATTTTCATGAATATTTTTAATTAGTGGTTAATGTTTACGTCACCTTCCTTCCACACCCCTCACTCCTCAGCTCACACAAGTGGGTTCGTTCGCTTTCGTTTTGACTATATAAGAAGGAGCCGGCGCACCATTGAAGAACCAGGGAGCCATATTTCCATGGAACACAGAAACTTCCTGCGCTTCTTCTTCCTCTTCTTCTCCGGAGCCTTAGCTCTGCTCGTCACTTGGCTGAATTCAACCAAGTCCGATCCATCCTCCTCCCGCTACCCCCTCCTCAAATCCTCCTCTTATATTTTCAACTCAATAACTCTTGAAGAACCCCCCCAAGAAGCTCGTCAAGCAATGGAAACCCGGCGACCCTCTCTTCCCCAGAAAAGCCTCCGTCATGCCCGCGTCAACGGCGCCTCCACTGTTCTCCTCACCGTTGACCTCTCCACCAACAGGTTACAAGACATGAAGTAGGTCCAGTTTCCGGGTACCCAATATGACTGTGGAGGACATGGTGAGGGGAGCAACATCGCGCCACTGAAGAGCTTCGAGTTCAACCGTACGATCACGGCGCGTGGGCGCGTTAAGATGGCCGACGTGGCGTGCTTGCCGGTGTCGTCGGGTGGTATGGGAAGATAAAAGAGGAGCAGAACTTGAGGCTGATCAAGGTTCAGTGCTATTCGTCGGAGGGCACTGCCAACTTCTACATGAGACCCATCGAAGGACTCACCGTGCTGGTTGATATGGATAAACAAGAAGTCGTCTCCATCTCCGACAAGGGACGCAACATCCCGATTCCAACGGAATCGACACGGATTACCGTTACTCCGTTCAGAAGCTGAGAGGTAAGTTGGACCTGTTAAACCCGATATCCTTGGAGCAACCCAAGGGCCCGAGTTTTACCATCGACGGCAACCTCGTGAAGTGGGCGAACTGGGAATTCCACCTGAAACCCGACCCGAGAGAGGGCAGGGTATATAGTAATATGAGGTGAAGTTCCGAGACCCAGAAACGTCGAAGCTAAGGGAGGTGATGTACAAAGGATTCACGTCGGAGCTGTTCGTTCCGTACATGGGACCCCACTGACGCCTGGTACTTCAAGACCTACATGGACGCGGGCGAATACGGGGTTCGGGTTACAGGCCATGTCGCTGGACCCGCTGAACGACTGTCCCCGGCATGCGTATTACATGGACGGCGTTTGGTCGTGCCGACGGCACGCCGTACGTCCGACCAAACATGATATGTGGTTCGAGAGCTATGCTGGCGACATCGCGTGGCGACACGTGGAGTGTCCTATCACTGATTTACAGGTTAGATGTCAAAAATCTGAAGATTCCATGTGTGGTTACTGCATCATGTACCTCAGCTCTCTAATCATATCGTTGTCTTGTTGTACATATAATGCAATGAGACATGTTCTTTCTTTTGTATGTTTTTTGAGAAAGATTACAGAGAAGACTCCATCCTTATCACTACAGCTGCGAATGGCTGAGACATACGTGTGATGTTTTTCTCCCTAGGAAATGTAAAAACTCTTGGGGTTATTATAAATTGAAATTTTGAAAGTTTTTAATAATTAGTTTATGATAATTGATAAGTAATAATACCATAGGGAATGTGTAGGTGTAGAATTAGTTTCAGTGACTGTGATAGTGATTAGTACCATAATACTCATTATTATGATAAAATATAAACCTTAATGATTCGGATTTAAAATTTTCAACTAGTAATTTTTAAAAAAGCTTACTGTTGAGATATCACATTTATTTTTCATTAGGTATTTATTGAAAAATATTTTTTTAAAAAAATATTAAATATTAAATTTTAATTCTCTATGTTAAATTTGAATGGTTAAGATTCGGTGAGTATTATGATTTCTGTGCGTAGATAACGGAGGCGAGACCGAAGGTGACGCTAGTGGTGAGGATGGCAGCCGCAGTGGCCAAATATGACTATATAAGGATTGGGAATTTCAAACTGATGGACTAATCAGACCCAAGGTTGTGCCGTTTCCACCACTTTTCAACTATCTACCTATCACTTGTTTATTGTTTGTATTCTTGTTTTCATTGTTTTATTCTAGTTTTCATGGTGTTCATATAAATCAATCTAAAACAATGTCATATTATTATTTATACAAAAATATTATGGTTTCCCGGGGAAATTGGTGGATAAAATTTCTAGTTAGAAAATTTACTTTATGGTAAATTTTTTCAAAGAGACAAATATTGTCTTGTGTGAATCAATGGGCGTGATGAGTAATTTCCAAAGACTTAGAAAATATGAGGGAAGGAAGTGACATATGAAAACCAATCAACGACTGAGCAGGTAGGACTGAGTGGAATCCTGATGGTGAAAGGAACACCGTACGATCACACCAACCAGATTCCACCCCAAGAGTATCTCTACGGCACCCTCCTCGCCGACAACCTCATCGGAGTAATCCACGACCACTACATAACCTACCGCCTCGACATGGACATCGACGGCGAGCCCAACTCCTTCGTCAAAGTCAACTTAAAGAGGCACCAGACGTCGCCGGAAGAAGACTCCCCGAGAAAAAGCTACCTGAAAGCGATGAGGAAAGTGGCCAAGACGGAGAAAGACGCAGAGATAAGACTCAAGCTGTATGACCCATCTGAGTTCCACGTGATAAACCCTAACAAGAAGACCAAGGTGGGGAACCCGGTGGGTTACAAGGTAGTTCCCGGAGGGACGGCGGCAACCTTGCTGGACCCGGAGGATCCGCCGCAGAAGAGAGCGGCGTTCACGAATAATCAGATATGGGTGACTCCTTATAACGAGACCGAGCAGTGGGCTGGTGGGTTGTTTGTTTATCAGAGCCAAGGCGATGACACTCTCCAAGTCTGGGCCAACAGGTCAGTCTTCTCCCTCTTTGGCTTAATTTTTTAGTTCCCGTTTGATACAAAGTATTAAAAATAATAGATAAAAACTAGAATTATAATTAAAAAAATATTAAAAAAATCTTTAGCATGAGTAATTACTTCTTATATGAGATTAGCCAAGCCTATGAAAATAGCATTGGAGAATATTACTTTTCCCCGTATCCCACGTATATAAAATTGTCTAATTCTATATAACAAGCAATCTCTCATACTAAACACTAATTTTTTAATCTTAATATTAATTTTTATTCTTCATTTTTAATATTCCGTACTAAACAACACCTTAGCTTGTTAAGCTAAGATAAGATCTTAACGGAAGGGTTTAATATGTGGCTGCAGGGATAGAGAGATAGAGAATAAGGACATAGTGGTGTGGTACACAATAGGGTTCCATCACATACCATGTCAAGAAGATTATCCAATAATGCCAACTGTGTCGTCAAGCTTCGATCTGAAGCCTGTGAATTTCTTCGAGAGGAACCCTATTTTCAGAATGCCACCAACTTTTGAAGATGACCTGCCCGTTTGCAAGCCTAGCGACTCATCAGCCTGAGATCCAATGATTAATCTAATGGCTACCACAGATCAATGATGTGCTGATGCATGTGTGTTCACTAATTAGTAATTAATCACTAGCTAGTTCTCTTGCACATTGTAACGATCCAATAAATTAGGGTTCGTTTGCATATTTATGTAATTCAATGAGAGAAGACATAAAGAGTCGTTTATCCCAAATCTCAGTCGGAATATTGAATCACTACCAGAAAAAAGGTTTTTCACGGAGGTTAATAATGGCTTTTTACGGCGGTTTTGAAGGCGAAGTTGATAAAGGCGACGTTGAAAAGTAAAGAAAACACGGCGGTTATGAACCGCCGTGAAAGTTGATTTTCCATGGCGGTTTTCTACTTAACCGCCGTGGAAAATCCCCATTTCCACGGCGGGATTTTCCACGGCGGTTAAGTAGAAAACCGCCATGGAATATTATTTTAACGACCGTCGTTAAAAATACATTTTTTTTTAAAAAATTCTGCTTGATTTTCATTTTTACCACCCTGCAGTTTACAGTTCCAATAAATGTAGGCAGTGCAGATCACGCAGAACAAAATCAATTAGCTAGTTGATATATATACAGCATTGAAATTTCTTTTACACAATTCGAAAATAGGAAACCAGCCAATATAATAGAACTAGGTGGTTAATTAAGACCAAAGAACACGTATTGGTTAGGTCCAACAATTCTGAAATAGAAGTAACTACTTCTCTGTACAATGGAAATCATGAACATGTACATATAAGAGGGAACCAAGAGAAAACATCTAACAATGAATTTTTTGAGAAATAACCTATCTATTTGAAAGCTAAATTTCAATTTTTTCTACCAATGTTGTTGACAAAGTGTCCCTCATCAAGTTGATGTCATCCATGAGATATGGCACAGTATTTTGAAATATCTGTTAATCAAAAATAACATAGTAAACTTAGTCAAAAATATGAAATGAATTGAAGAACGTCATGCAACGTAACTCATCTTTACCTCGTCTAATTTCTCAGTCGTTCCTGTCTCAATTATGTCATTCATGTAGCGGATGACATAATATCCACACTCAACATGTCCTTGTTGACAACGGTACTAAAAAAATAAGATATAAAATTGAATATTAGACATTATTGATTATAAACATTAACTTTAATTCATCCAAAAATGTTTAAAAGTTAGTTCAAAACAACATATACCTTTGGAAGAATCCATGTTGGTGCTTGTCTATTTGTTTAATCACCACAACATTAAAAGTATGAAAAGCCCTATCAACATTATAAGAGAAAATGATATTAGAGCATGCTTGTATAAACTTCACAAATAATAAATATAAAAAAAAACTAACGTGTCGATGACATCTTTGGTTTCTTCGGATGGACTTCCACAGAGTGAATCGAACCAGTAAATTTGTTGTCAAAAAGGGCACAAACAATTAGAATCCAATGATAACTGCAAAAGGCAAACCATGTTAATTATAACCCGACACATACAACTTGTATATCTCAAATACAATAATACACTTACCCTTCCACGTAAGGTGCAAAATATATTAGCTTTCTGGTCTGAGTCATTGTGGTCATAATGTAGATTGACCTTGCTTACAGTATTAAATTCTTTCTGCACCCTTTGAGGACACATAAAGCCATATGTTCCTTCAAGTCCTCCATTTCGACAGATTTGATTAAAGTGCCTGTTGTTCAAGTTAAAAACATTAGAACATGCATGAAGTATAATATGTAATAAGAAAATGATATTATAACTTACAAAATAGCGAGCTGCATGAAAACTATATCAAGCTCCTCAAAGTTGAGGAACTGAACGAGGTCCCTCTTGTCAATGGTGAAGTCGTATGTTATATCTGAACCCACAACCCCCAACGGCATCTTGAAAGTCACAGGCTTATCCATGTTTGGCACCATGGAATGAAGAACCTCCAAACTGGAATACATAAGCGCAACATCACCAGGAAGAGGCAAGAGTACAGGATCAGATGATGCGCTCGTTGTGGCCTTCTTTGCTGCCGCCTTCTTTACCATTGGCTTTGCAATAAGTCTCTTTGGCCACAAAATGAAATGTCCTTTAGCTTGGGCCAAGAGTTGAACCTCATCAGTAAGATTGGGCACTGGTGTACCCCCTGACCACGAACAATCCTCTCCACTGTCACCCTTGCTTGATTGCTCGGAATTTTGTTGTCGTGAATCGTTGTGCCCATGAATGCTCGACCACTAGCAACATGAATAGGTGAATTTTCATAATCCACATAGAGAGAACACGGCATCCCATTGTCTTCGACAGGGTCAGGGCTAGGGTCAGGGTCAGACACTGTCAGTGGCTGTGTCTGATTATTACTGCCCTTCCCGCTTTTTATCACAGGTGAACCCTGAAACATAATAGGAAATTAGTTAAGAAACATTAAATAAGTTTAAATGGATCAAATGAATCTTTAGAAATTTAAAAAGATGTGTGATTATTACCTGGGAAGGTTCAGATACTCGGGCATCTGGAATCCACTCGTACCCATCATCATCAGAGTCCGTTGAAACTTGGCATCGAATTCGTCACGTATCTTTTGCATCTCTGCCATGTGTTGTTGACTTAGTTCAGCTCGAACTCTCTCTGTTTCTTCCTGTAGTCGTTGGTCGAGCTCCTCTTTAGATACCATGTTAGCGGAGGATGATTAGTGCTTCTTCGTGAAGCAAAGCCAAAAAATTCTTTAATACCAATCCCTTTAGGGGTCCCTCGGACTCTTCCGGGATGGTCAACCTTTCCAATAGCAGTGGCCAAGATATCCATCCGTCCTTGAGGGATGAATGTACCTTGAGATAATTGCTCCTCAAGTGTATCCTATATCATTAAAGCAACAAATTCAATTTAAGATAATTGAAAAAAATAATTAATGAAGCATAATTCTTAAATATTACTTAAAATCCTCTCAGCAACAGCAGCAGACTGTGGAGTAATGTATTAACCCTTTTTAATCCTCGCCGCCTTCCATTTTTCTTGGCGAGAAGGACGCTCAATAGGTGGCATGTAGCCAGTAGGATCTGAAGTAGCAGCCATCTGTGCATTCTCAGCCGTTCCTCCATCATACTTCTTTCCAACCTACCATACCCTGCACGAGACATGGTATGTGGGTATACATTCTGCTCAGATATTTGTTTGTTCTTCTGACTCAATGCCTATGACAATGAAACCAAATCGATAAAATTAGTTTAGTTAAATAAAATATGACCTGGTTAAAATTTTTTGAAGAAACCAAACCTGAAATGCAGGGTCTTCACGTTGCTTCACAAAACTCTCCCATGCCTCTTCACTAATAAATGAATATCGTTCCTTAGGATGCTCACCCTTTCTTTTTCCACGAATATAATGTTTTGTAAGCGTGGACTTAAAATCCCTCCACCGTTCATCAATTTGCTTCAACAGACAGTCTCTCATTTGCTTAGTGGCAGGAATATCAAATGTCAGCTGCAATACAATAATAGCATAGAGTTATAAAGTAAATAAACAATTATAATTGAAACAAGTAAAGAAAACAATGTACAATATACCAATATATCCTCCCAAAGGTTTTTCTTCAAACCTTTGTCCACCTTCTTCCAGCTAGGAATGTCAATGCTAATCTTACTGCATGCGAGATAACCCACATAACTAGTAAATTGAGCCCCAGCCTTTCCTATAGGCTTCAGATCATCATCAAACTCCACTGTAATCCTCATAGGCTGTGTGCTCTCATCACGTAAAGCTAAATGCCTCATATGGGTTGGCCCTCTACCCTTTCTCCCGCTAATAAAAGAGCTGTCGTCACCAGAACCCTGTTGACCGAATCTGTCCATTTCCTGTTTAAAGAACAACGAATTAATAAATGTAAGAATAAAAAATATGAAGTTAAGATAAAACATTATATTGTTAAGTATATTTAGCAAAAAAAAAATCAAAGAATTCATTTGAGGCTTACAACGATTATCCTCCCAAATTCCTTCACAATGATCATCTCTAACAGCATAGTCATCATCTACCAAATCTAATTCAACTGCTTGTCGAGTAGCTGTGAAAGGCGGGGTTTCATCAATATTAAGCTCTAAATCACCATCATCTCCACCAACTCCTTGCCTTTTACCTTGAAGCACGATAGACAATTTCTTTTTTGCTAGATCGGGAACAAAGAACACTTGTTTTGCTTGACTTGCCAAAATAAATGGCTCGTCTCCATATCCAAACCTCTCAAGATCGACCGAAACAAATCCAAATTCTTCATCCACTTGCACAGCATTACTATTAACCCACTTACATTTGAAGATGGGAACTTTAAACTTGGTATAACTAACCTCCCATATCTCTTCTATTATTCTATAATAGGACATTGCCGCCAACATTGGGTTTCTGTCTTTAGAACTAGCAAAATGCATGGCTTCCGCTACTACCATCACCCCACTATTCTGCATAGTACTCTTATCGTCTTGGGTTTTTGTGTAAAAAGAATAATCATTTATATCATATCCACCCCAACACAAAACCTCAAAAGAAGGCCCTGCAGCTAGCCTCTGTATTGTCTCAGAAGGATTGCCATCTTTTAACACTTCTTGCTTGAACCACTCTGCAAATGACTTATTATGTTCATTAGCTAGTTGCATATCACTCTTTCTTGGATTCAAGTTCCTCAGCATATTCTTGTGAGCATTTAAGTAAGGCAAAACTTCATCTGTGTTGTTTAAAATGTATAGATGTGCCTGCATTACAACTTCTCTTGACATAGACCTCACTATGACACCCCGTGTTCCCTTGCTTCTTCTCCCCTGATCATGTCGAGATTGAGGAAGACCAACTGCCTTTACCCTATCAAGATATGCGTTACAAAACTCAACTGCCTCCTCAGCTACATATCTCTCAACAATTGATGCCTCAGGCTGATAAGGATTCTTAGAGTACCCTTTTAGGATTTTCATGTATCTCTCAAAAGGGTACATCCATCTTAAACACACAGGGCCATAAAGTCTTATCTCTCGTACAAGATGAGCTATCAAATGGACCATAATATCAAAAAATGATGGAGGAAAATGCATTTCCAATTGAGAGAGGATCACATAACCTTCATTTTCTAATTCATCCAACTTAGCAGGATCAATGATTTTGCTGCAAATGGCATTAAAAAACATACAAAGTGTTGTAATAGTATTTTTCACATCGGTTTTCATAATGCCTCGAATAGCAAGTAGAAGTAATTGTTGCATCAACACATGACAATCATGAGACTTCATTCCCGTTATCTTCAAATCTTGCATTGAAACAAGTTTGCTTAAATTAGAAGAATAACCTTGTGACACCTTAATACTATGGGAAAACCATATTGAAGGTACCTATACTTTCTCTCAATTTTTAATTTGGTACCTATGTGTTTTTTTCCATTTAATTAAACATTTAATTTTATCTTTTTAGCAACATTAGCTCTTATAACTTTGTTCTATTGACATTTTTAGTCTCTACATAAGGATTAATGATGTTAATAGAGGAAAAATAAAGATTTAGTTAAGAATAAAAAACACATAGGTACCAAATTGAAAATTAGAAAAAAGTATAAGTACCTCCAATATGGTTTTCCCTAATACTATTGACAAAACCACAGAAACTTCTTTTCTCTTCTTTTGATAATGTGTGCGCAGCTGGATGTAAATAAGCCTTCTTACCATCTCTTTCTTGTGGGTGAAGGACATTTCTTATTCCAATTTCGACTAAGTCTCGTCTTGTATTGATTCCATCTTTAGTCTTTCCACTTATATGCAAAAGTGTACCAACAAGGCTCTCACATACATTCTTCTCCACATGCATCACATCTAGACTATGCCTCACATCAAGACTTTGCCAATATGAAAGATCAAAAAAGACAGATCTTTTTTTCTATATATTTCTCTCACCGGCAGTCTTCTTCTTCTTCTTCTTCTTCTTACCGAAGACCACATTAATTCCCTCCACCCACTGATAAACTTCTTTTCCAGTTAATGGTCTTGGAGCCATTTCATATTCTTGTGAGCCATTAAATGCCTTTTTCAATATACGACAAGGGTGATACCGACTAAGAAACCTTCTGTGACCAAGGTATACTGTCTTTCTGCCATGTTTAAGTTGCATATAGTGGGTGCCTTCTTCGCATATCGGGCATGCTTTATGCCCCTTAACACTGTATCTTGACAAATTTACATATGCTGGAAAGTCATTTATTGTGGTGAAGATCATGGCACGTAAATTGAAGGTCTCTTGTTTATATGCATCAAACACATCAACAACTTCCTCCCATAATTTCTTCAGATCCTCAATCAAAGGTGCCAAATACACATCGATATCGTTTCCCGGTTGTTTTGGCCCCGAGATCATCAAAGATAGCATGATATACTTTCTTTTCATACATAACCAAGGAGGCAAGTTGTAAATTACGAGGAGCACTGGCCAAGCACTGTGTGTGCTACTAAGATTACCATATGGGTTAATTCCATCCATATAAAGCCCTAGTCGAAGGTTTCTTGGCTCGCCACCAAATTGAGGAAATTTTTTATCTATTGTTTTCCATTGAGAAGAATCTGCTGGGTGACAAAGCTTTCCATCACATATTTTCTCATCGAAATGCCATCTCAAGTTCTTTGCATCTATGACATTAGCAAATAGACGCTTAAATCGTGGTATTATTAGAAGATACCACAGAACCTTTGAAGGAGAACCTTTGGTCATCTCATTATAATCACCATCATCTTTCTTCATTTTGTATCTTGAAGTCCCACATTTAGGGCACTTATTCAACCCTTCATAATCATTTCTGAATAATATGCAGTCATTAGGACACGCATGTATCTTCTCATATTCCAAACCCATCGGACACAAAATCTTTTTTGCCTCATACATTAGTTTCGGAAGTGAATTCCCTTTGAGAAAAATATCACTCAGCAATTCAAGCAATTCCGTAAAACTAGCATCGGTCCAACCATTTCTTGCCTTCAAATTCATTAGTTTCAATACGGTTGTCAATCTTGTGTAATCATCTTTGCACCCCAGGTATAAAGGTGTCTCTGCATCACTACACAAAGTTTCAAAGGTGGAAGAAAACTGTGTAAAGGATTCAGACCTTATATCACGAAACATATCCGAAATTCTATCACCAAAGTCTTCATTCACAACCTTCTCATTTGCAGACAGTGTAGTCTTTCTAATTTCTCCATGCCATATCCAATTTGTATACCTCAAATTTATCCCATCACAGATAAGATGTTCTTTTATCTCAGAAATACTCCGTCGACTATTGTTTAAACATTTGACACAAGGACAATAATACAATCCATCTCTTTTACTATGGGCATTTCTCTGAGCAAACTCAAGAAACTTTTCAACCCCATCCTCATATTCCTTGCTAATTCTCTTAGCTTTCATCCAACTACGATCCATTGTCTTACAGATTATTTAAACAACACTTTACTATCAATCAAAATTCATAACGAAGAAAAAAAATACAAAATAACAAACAGATTATTTATTACTAAATTCTTATATTTATTACAAAAAAATTACCAAAAATTCGAAATAAATATCAAAAAATTATTAAAAAAATTAAAAAACTTCACAACTAATTAACTCCAAACATTTAAACATGTTTCTAATACAGTATATAAAAAGGAATTAATGTTTTCTCACATCCAATGCCCACCAATCAACACCAATTAACGGTTCAACCACATAAAAAATGCAAAATGAACAATACAAGCCAACCACAATGTAAAACTAACAAACCCATTTCATATATAACAGATTTTCACGGCCAAAGCATTCAACAAACCAAGAAAAATTGAAAAGAATGAAAGAAGAGGATACTCACAGAGCAGAGAAGCTTCAAACGCAAAGTGAGGGTGGTGGCGGACGGTGGCAGACAGCGGCAAGGCACGGTAGACAGAGGGATGGTGGGGGTTATGACCGGTTTTCGGTGGTGGGACAGAGGGACCACGGCTGAGCAAGAACCATGCGAAATGAGAGGCGTTCGACCACCGCGGACGGCGGCGGATGGCGGAAAGGCACCACAAGCTCAATGGAGGAGTTTAAATGGTGGGATAGTGGCGGAAATGGCCGGTAATGGCAGTTTTTCGGTAGTGGGGCAGAGGGGGACCACAGCGCACTGAAGAAATGAGAAAGAAAGTGACTGAAGTCGAAGCGGAGAAAGGTAAACGGCGGTTCTTTAAAGAACCGCCGTTAAAAATAATTTCAACGGCAGTTTTCTTAAAAACCGCCGTTGAAAGTGTAGGCCTCTTCAACTTATTTACAAAAATGCTACTGCATTTTTTTTTCACGTCGTTAACCGCCGTTATTTTACCACGTTAAAAGTCTTTTTTCTAGTAGTGAATATAATAGTATCACGAGTACTATTTTTGACTATCTAAGTTTTTATGAAATTTTGGGTATTTATACACATCGGAAGTGAAAAGAATGGCAAACAAAAGGTGTTGGAAAAGATTTTTCTGAGCATATTTTTGTCTTTATTTTGTGGATTGAATATTCAATGCTGCTCATCATAAACCTGCCAAAGAAATACCTATACTGCTCTGGAAATTGCTCAGTGAAGCTATCCCCTGGAGTGATATTCTGGTCAAACATCATCCAAATGTCTCTCTCTCTTTCTCTATATGTGTGCGCGTGTGCACGCTCCGGCCTTTTGGTTGTCAAAATCCAGAATCCCTGGAGCATATCTTCACAATATATATATATGTATACTACCTCCGCTTTTAATTATAAGAGTTAGTTGACTAATTTGAAGAGATTAAAGAAGTAAGTTGAGTTAGTTATTTGTCCTAAATAGGTGTTGTCTTTCCGAAAATATCCTTACTAATCAAATGTATTGGCTAGAATTATAATTATTAGAAGGACTATCTTGAAAAAAATTGAATAAATATAAGACACAAAAGGGATTGAGGTCTTGTATTTAGAATCAAAATGAAAGTCAAACAGGATCTTATATTAAAGACCGAAGGTAGTATATATCTTGTCCCTTACCTAGATCACCGCATTATCATTCTCCTGATCGAACATGCATGACATGGAATAATCTGGTTCATTCTTCAAAAACCATCTATCTGTCCTAAAATGCTTATAATACAAGTTAAGCCTTCAACACAGTGGCTCTCAATTCAGCTCGAGGCTTAGAAGGCAAAGGTAAGTTTTTAATTACTGTCGATCGAATCCTCAAATTAATCACTGTGATTTTAGCAGAAGAAGAGGAGGTTGGACTGTTATTATATTTTATATACATATATATATATATATATGAAAGTAAAGGAATATTTGAAGATGGTTCTGCTCCACATGGTGGGATTCAGAAAATTTGTTTGGAAAAAATAAGGAAATTGCAATAATGGTAATTTTACGAAGAGGGTACCAAGTCTCCTTCAGATGTATCTGCATTAAGAAGCAGCTTGTTCCTCCAGCAGGAGCCAACATTAAAAGTGGACATGTGTTGTGGGCAAAGACATTTACCACCTTCTTAGTCTTTTAACTTTCAAAAATGTAATTATTGTAGCTAGCTAGTAGCACTAAATGTGATATTTTAGCAAACAACTGTCCCAGTTTATTATGGTTAATTTTATGAACGCTTAACTGTTTGGTTTTTCATTAATACATTTTGTCTTTTTATTAAAAAAAAAAAAGAAAGTGTAGGCAAATTTTGACCAGAAAATATCTGAAAATATGCACCACATCTTATCTTAATTATAAAATATCATTGTAGTTTATAAATAAGATCTTATAATTAAGATTGAATAAAGTATTTAGTTTTGATAAGGAAGTGGAATCTCACATGGCGTGTTGAAGTTGCCAAACTTATGCAAATGAAATATCCCAACTTAATTCCTTTATTACTGCTATTATCATGAGGACCTTTGGCCTTTTCAGAAGGAAATGGAATCCGACCTGCACCCACCTTCAAGAAATACCGACACGTATCGGATATGATCCATCATGATGATGCATCAAATAGCACAATTTTCAAAATTTTAACATACACGTATGGAAATGTGTGTCACCACCTCACTTTACGCTTATGTAAAATCTACTTAATCAATTTAGAAAAAATAAAAAAAATGATTAAGTTAGTTGTTCATAAAAAATATATATATTAATATTTTATCTAAAATGCCACTATCTTAAATCATTTGCATTAAAACTATATTTTAATACAAATTTTATTAATATGTATAATCAATAGGAATAGTTTGAAATAAAAAAGAACATGAGTGTAGAGACAAAATTAATTTTTTTTGTCAAAAATTAATTAAAATCTTATATTTAAAATTAAACTCAATCCCAACTAACTTCTCTGCTAAGAAGTGGAGGTAGTATATGTTTTAATATTTTAAGGACTGGGTGTAGGTATCTCGAGCTTTAAATAAGTAATATAAATATATTTATAATAATCTTTGTCAAACAAAAATTACAATGCAAGGGATAGAATAATACATGATACGTGTCATGAGGTATTTGTACATATCGAATAAGGACACATTTGGGGTCTGTTTATTTGGTACGAGGAAAATGACGGGAAAAAAAGAAAAAAATTTTAATAAACTCATTTTAAAAAATTAAAAAAGTAGGGTTATATAAATTTGTTAAAAAAATATAAGATCAAAAAATAAAATTTAATTAGAAAATTTTAATCCGAATTTTTTAATTTTTTGAAACGATTGAACGAGCTCATTAAAAAAATTTCACCCTTTTCCTTCTTTCAATTTCTTTTACACCGAAATATCGATGCTTTTATTGCCTGATAGTTTGTTTTATGTTATGGAGGATTAATTAATTAATGTAGATTGAAACATTATTAGGCTCCACGCGGTGTCATTTCTAATTTCTCCAATTACCAAAAAAGCTAAATCAGCTAGCCCCCTGATTAAGAAGCATCGGATACTTCTAGATTTTTCCGGCCTGTCCCTACTAAATTTTAATATTATATTAATTTTTATTTTTATATTATCTTTATTAAATCAAAAGTTTCTTCTAAAAGTAAGTCACTTGTAAAGAAAAAGTTTTGATTCTAAATATCAATCATTTAAAGTATATTTAATGCTTGTTTTTTAATTTTACTTTTATTGAATTCTCATAAAAAGAAAAAAAAAGAAAGAGATATAAGAATAATTTATAAATATAGAGAGAGAGAAAACTTTAATAAGACTTTGAAAAAAGAAAGAAAGAAAAGAAAACCTTAATAAGAATAAAATTAAAAATTTTGTTAATTTAATATATTTGTTCATATACGAGAATATGTTATAAGTAACATATACTTCCTCCAGTCTTTAATATAAGACTTTATTTTATTTTTATTTTGGTCCTAAATATAAAATCCCAATTCACTTTGTCTCTTATATTTATGTATTTTTCCTTAATGTAATCCTTTTAACAATAGTAGTTCTAGCTAATACACTTGATTAGCAAGGATATTTTAGGAAAGACAACGCTTATTTATTACAAATAACTAACTTAACTTTTTTTCTTAATCTCTTCAAATTAGTCAACCAACTCTTATAATTAGTACTCGAGGCAGTATTGAAGATCAAAGTAGTAGGATCTTGTAACAAGGAGCAGGGACTAGAGATAATATAAAATTTTGTGTTCATGCTCCCTTCTCTCCTCCCTGCCTTCTCCTCCAGAAGTGAGTTTTTTGCGATAAGGAAAAAAAAAAACCACGTATTCACCCATTGACCAGTTTAGTCATGCCCTATTCTAACGTCTCAATTTTGCCTATGACAATTAAACCTTTTCGTTTCTCCTGCGTCTGATGTTTTTTAATGAAATGGAATTATGCATTCATCCTCTCATGCCATCAACACAGTAATGTGCCTTTTTTTTTTTAACTTTTTATCTTTTTCAAAAAAACAAAATGTTTGTCACTTTTTTTGTCTCTTCAATTTTTTTCAAGGATAACTTTATGACTCGTCGATATCCTTACACTTTATCTCATGCACTTACAGTTGAAAGGGCCAAATTGAGCATTGACGGACTGAAGTGCTAAGCTAGAGACTGGCCCCACTTATTGATACAATACCACTTTTTTTTGGGGGGGGGGGGCAATTGGGTAAATGAAAACCAAAGCAGGAGGGAAAGTAAAACTTGTATTAAAATATATATATATATATATATATACACACACACACACACACTATCTCCTATCCTAATTATAAGACTAGTTGACTAATTTGAGAAGATTGAGGAAAGAAGTTAAGTTAGTTATTTGTAATAAATATACGTTGTCTTTTTTAAAATATCCTTACTAATTAAGTGTATTGGTTATAACTACTATTATTAGGAGGACTATCTTAAAAAAATATATAAATATGAGAGATAAAGTAGATTAGGATCTTATATTTAAGACTAAAATAAAAGTCAAATAAAGTCTTATATTAAGGACCGCATGTAGTATTTGTCAACTTCTGGTTAGCTTCCCTTTCTTTTTTTTTTTTTTCTTGAACTAGGCAAGAAAGCTCCCCTCATTTCATCCTCCCCCACAACCAGACAAAGCACATAATCTCTCATCCATTAAACCAAACACAGAGTTAATGATAATCTGGAAAAATCATAATAAAAGACTGTAAAAATTGCAAAGTTATAAATTAGGACCCGTTATAACACTTGCATAGGTTTTAATAATAATTAGATCGTGAATGGCAACACATTTTTAACAAAATATCTTATTTACCATTTCGCAATTTTTATGATTTTTTTGCGATTTTTTCTGATAAATATTGGTGGTGGGGGAGGACTAACTCTCCTCTTGAAAAAGAGCAGACATAAAGAAGAGCAATCAATTTTATATAAAGGTTAAAATATGCAGACTCATCACTTAAAAGAGCAAAAACCTCTGTTATTTTCCCGTTTATTATACTCATAGACATGTCACCTCTCAAAACAATAGGTATTTGTTCACTATATACCAATAGACAGCGAGCTTTTCTTTTTTTTCCCCCACAAAATAAAAAAAAATTAACCTGACAAAACTGCTTTGATCATATGACTAATTAAATAAGAGTTAATACAAATTTTGGTCCCTCAAATTATGTCCGTTTCAGACTGTTGGTTCCTGGTATCTTGGCACCATTAAATTCTGCTGACATGATGTTAACACCGTTAATCGATGAGTTGGACATATAGGTGGCATATGACCTGGACATGAACTGATGAATTGGCATGTAGGTGGCGTATGACCTAGACATGACCGGTAAAAAAAGGGGTTAATATAAATTTTGGTCCCTTAAATTTGAGGCCATTTTGATATTGGTCCTTGAAATTTAAAAATGATAGTATTGGTCCATGAAATTTAAAACCAATAGTATTAGTCTCTCAAATTATATCCGTTTCTGGCCATTAGTCCCTGATAGCTTTAGGCTGTTAAATTCGTCTAAGTTGACACTAACTTTATTAACCTATAATGTGGCATCTGACTTGGTAACTAAAGCTTGATGATGTGGCATGAGAAATGGAAAGCCGTGGTCGAAGAGACCCTATGCAATCTAGGATTCACTTTTGTCAAAACACAAAGCTTATACTCCTATATTAATGTGAAGGAAACGCAGTGCATTCTCAGCCAAACCTTCTACCTCCTCTGCTACCTTTGGCCAAAAAGGTGACTTAATAGTTCATGAGAAGAAGAAGCCAGCTTTAGATACAAAACCACCCCCATTGAAACCATCTTCTTCTGATACAGACAATGATGAGCCTTTGACAAACTCAATTATTTTTATATATTTTGGTATCTTTTATATGAGTTTTGTCAGCTTAATTGGTCCCTTTTTGCCTTAATTGATTTATTTTGTTTTATTTTGAATTATTATTTTATAGGGGCAAAATTGTCATATTTTGATTTAATTGTGATTAATTGATTTTTGAGGACAATTAATGCTACCTTATCCTTGAATTTTGCTTGCAGGTTCTTGGAAGATTCAAAAATATAAAAAAAAGAAAAGAAAAGAAAAGAAAAAAATAAATTAAAAAAAAGAAAAAAATAATAAAATAATAAAAGGGGGGAGCAAAACGTTGCGTTTTGCTCCACCCCTAATATATATTATTATCTTCTTCAATTAGGAGAAGCAGAGACGCGAAGCGGCGCGGAAAACACACACATACACAGAAGACGCCGAACGGAAGGGAGACACACGAAACAGAACACGCCGAACGGGAGAGAACCAAAACCGAAGAGCTGGGCGGCGGCAACGAAAGAGGAGGCCGAACGGAAGCTGAAGACGCACGCCGGACGGAAGCAAAGACGGAAGGCGCGGAGCGGAGGCGCAGCGGGAGAAAAACAGAGGAGGCGCACGCACGAACCAGGAAGCAGACACCAGAACGAAACGGAGGAAGCTGGGGGCGGCGAACAGAGCTGAACGGCGGCGACAGAGCACGCCGAACGAGCTGAACACGGGGGAGACACACACACACGCTGAGCCGGAGAAGCTTGCACGTACCTGAAGAAAAACAGAGCCGAACCATTCAGCGTGAACAGTGTTCTTCCATGGGATCCTGTAGCAAAATACTGATTGCAGCGAATTTGATGGCAAACCGTGGCTAATTCCTAATTCTCTAATTCAACAATAATGGCAGGAGCTTGGATCATCAAAGGGGAGTTTTAGTTGCTTTAATTTCCTACTCAATAATTGTTTAACAATTCCTAGGTCTTAGGATAGTTTTTTCTAATTGTTGGGATAATTGTATTGCTTAATCTGATTATATTTGGGGATTATTGTGACTGGATTATTGCTTAGTATTTGACATTGGGCTGTTTATAGTTTTGATCTCAATTATAATGTTGTGGTTATGACATTTGTATTGATTTTGGAATTAATATATTGTGATTTTCTAAGGTGGCTTAGAATTTTGGATCATATAGTCTCTTGCTAGCTTTAATTCTGTTATTTTGGATTTAAGAGTTCTAATTAAGCATTGGTTTTTAGCATCCTTAATCCCATTTTACTATTCTGGTTGCAGTTAGTAAGTTGGGATTTTAGGAAAATATTTTGTGGCAACTCGAGGTGGCTCGGTTGTTGGATCAAAAGCTTAATTATAATTCTTAATTCATTGTTTTTAACTCCCACATCTTTTAGAGTGATGATTGCCTGCGTTGTTGAATTGGAGGATTGATTTTTATCAGTGTTATCTGTGTCTCATTTTCATTTCTTTAATCTCCATTCATTTTAATCACTTTTATATAAAAACAAAAAAAAAAGTATTTTAATTTCAATTTGATTCGTAGTATTTAATTAACAGCTTTTCAAAATTGAAAATCTCTTTTTATAGTTTAGGTTACTTGCATTTATTTATTAGGTTTAATTTCGTTTTCGGCTCCTCAAAGTGAAACGACCCGAGTTTTGTACTATATTGCATTACTTGGATTTATTTTTGATTGGGAACCCCAAGGCAAACGACAAAGGCTCTCATCAAGTGGCGCCGTTGCCGGGGAGCCAAGAAATTGGTTCCCTAGTAATTAAGTGTCAAGTAGCCTTGATTGGGGTTCATTTGTTGAGCCTTTTTAGTTCTCATTTTTGTTAGTTTTTTTTTTTTCTTTTTCTCAGTAGTTTGCATTTGTTTTTGGTTTTTTGTTTTCATGGCTTGGTTTAATAGCAATCATGATCTATTCTCGCATTCTCACTTTTATGCCGGAAATAGTACGTGGAATGAAGCACCTTCTAATTCAACATGTTCTCAAGAAATTGAAGAGTTGTTGCAACAGTTAGACTCCTTCCAAGCTCAGCTAGAGTCTCAAACGCCTAATCACTTCTCTACCCATGACCCTTCTTGGATGAACCATCCTCCACATCAATCACCTAACCCATCACTCCAACCTCACCAACCATACTTTAATCATATATCTCTACCATATGCACACCACCAAGAACCACCTCCTTTTCCATATGAATACCACCACCAACCCTTGTCCCAATCCATATACCAATCCCTTCCCCAATCTTATGAACATGAATTCAATGAACTTGACCCATTTCTTACTATTCCTAAGAAGGAACAGATACAATTTTTAAGAGAAGCTTACGACCGCTTAAATTCATACTACCATAGATTACTTGAAGAGGAAGAGATATCTGGGATCTCTAAGGAATTAGAGGAAGAGCTAGAAGAATGTCAAAGTGCATTGGCAAAGTTCTTGAGTGATATAGCGCGAATTGAGTCTGAGATTGGGAAAGATGAATCAAAGTGTCTAGATTCACTCATGCAAGAGGCTGAGAGGAAGCAAGAACATCTACAAACTCACAAGGACTCGTGCCCTACATCAGGTAATATTGCTCCTCTTCTTGAGGAGATTGACCCTTATGCTATAACTACTATTCCTGTTGAAGCTTCTGATAATATGAGTGATATTGAGGTGGATGAAGAAATTGTCTGTGAATCCCCTCATGTTTTTGAACATGCTAATACTCATCTTGTTGCTCTTAGTGGTAGTGATTTGGATGAAGATGTTGTTTTGTGTGATGATTTACATGCCAATCATGTTCCTCTTCACAGTGGTGGAAGCGTTGTTATTGATAAGTATGAGAACATTGAGATTGCTAAATCTTGTTTGAGTGCAATTATTGATGACAAATGTGAGAATGATCATTGCCTTGAGAACCAATTGCATGATAATTCCTTTGAGTTAGTAGCTTCTAGTGTTGTTGAGAAAGACTCTGAAATTTTGATTGACAAAATTATGCATGTAGATGAGTCTTTTCAACAAGTTTTGTCTTGTGATTTGCCTCCTGATTTAGTTAGCTGTGTCAATAGTAGTATTCTGCATGAATCTTCTTCTGCTTTCATGTTTTTACCTCCCAGCTCTTGTGAATGTGATAGTGATGTGCTGTACTCTAATAAATGTCAGTTGGATGCTTCAGTTTCCACGTCACATGAACCTAAGTGTTTTGAAACTTTAAATGATTGTTTGACTCCTACTGATGGGAGTATCATTGACTTTCTTGGATGCTGTAGCTACTTGAAGAGCCTAGATCATAAAATGTTTTACTTTATTTGAAATCTCTTGAAGTCTCTATTGCTAGATTTGGTACTGCTGCTGGCTTGTTTTCTGTGCAGGCACATAATTGGAAGGGATCTCCTCAACACCAAACTCCACCATATGCTCTTGGACCTCTTTCAATTGACCCTGAGCCACCACCAAGAAAGTGCAATCATCAAGAGCAATCCTTTTTGCTAAACTTCATGTTTCTCATTATTGATGAGAATTTCTCTTTTAAGAGTCTAAGGCGCTTTAAGCACAAGGTTGTCTCTTTCCTCACTTATTCTCTCTTAACTTTGCATCAATTAACTGTGCTTAACTGAATTATTGAAGAGGATAAGTGTGGGGGAGCTATTCTAGTAGAAAAGTAACTTTGTTTTGTTTACTCCCTTATTGATCCTCTTTTTCTCTTGTCATTACCTTGTCCTTGGATTTTGCATTGAGGACAATGCAAAATTTAAGTGTGGGGGAGGGATTGTTGTTGAGCTTTCTCTTGAAAAAAAAAAAAAAATTTGCCTTTGGATTTGCACCTGTTTCCTAAGTATTGCTGCTATAATTGCTCTCTTCTTTGCCTTATTGGTTGATTTCTGAATTGCATCGCATGATTTGAGAGTGATTCTTGCTTGGGAATTTTGCTGCTGGTTTCTATGTCCTCTTGCTTTCATTCGCCTCAGTGTTTGCACTGCTGTATGGGCGAGTTGTTGTTCTCTCTGTTGCTGACTCTTGACTTTTGTAATCCTTGGGCATCTCTTTTAAAATCTTTTTGAACAATGCTTGTGAATATTGCACGGCTGAGTTTGATTGCATTTGATTCGAGTGATTTCTGTTCTTAGTTGATTAGTATAGTAGAATGCCTTTAGTGCAGTGTTATTAACCTTGTTTCATAGCTTGATCTTTAAGGAGGAAACATCTTGGAGAAAGCCTTAATGGAAGGATTGTTGAGCCATATATTTTCTCATCTTGTGTGATTTTCACCTAGTTTTGGTTAACCTCTAGAACTTGTCTAGATTCTTTTTCAAAGCTGCATTAATACCTAGGTTTGTGAAGATGATAGGGGCATTCATTTCTAAACCTTTACCCAAACACAAACCACTTCATTTAACCTTTGTTCACCCCTTTGAGCCTTCACTTTCATTTCATTTATTTTTTTTAGCAAGTGTTTTGCATGAGTTACATTTGGTTTTTCATTTTGAAAAGTACATCATTAAAGTCTATATCTTTGCTTTTTGGGTTTGGATGCCAAACAAAAAAAAAGAAGAAAAAGAAATAGAAAAAGGCAAAAAAAAAGAAAATGTTTAGAAAAAGCCAAAGAAAGAAAGTTAAAAAAAAAAAAAAAAGAAAAGAGAAAATAAGTTGCAACAAAAGAATAAATTTGAAATAAGGCATTCCATGGTGGTTTGAAGAGCAATGATTTCTGTCTCAAAAGGTTAAAATCTGCACTTTGGTGTTCTTTTATGATTGTACTTAAGCTCACTTTGAGTTGATACTTTATTACTCATGCATTTCACTTTTTAGTCCATCCATTCATTTGGCCTTGTTTTTCGACATTACAACCCTTCAAGTCCCCTTGATCATGAGTCTAAGGTATGTTAGTGGTGGA